ACGTGGAATACACTTACAAGGAACTGTGTAGAGTATTGATGTTGTGACAAGACAAATACGTGGAATACACTTACAAGGAACTGTGTAGAGTCTTGATGTTGTGACTAGACAAATACGCAGAATACACTTACAAGGAACTGTGTAGAGTCTTGATGTTGTGACTAGACAAATACGTGGAATACACTAACAAGGAACAGTGTAAAGTCTTGATGTTGTGACACGACAAATACGTGGAATACACTTACGAGGAACTGTGTAGAGTCTTGATGTTGTGACAAGACAAATACGTGGAATACACTTACAAGGAACGGTGTAGAGTCTTGATGTTGTGACTAGACAAATACGTGGAATACACTTACAAGGAACAGTGTGGAGTCTTGATGTTGTGACAAGACAAATACGTGGAATACACTTACAAGGAACTGTGTAGAGTATTGATGTTGTGACAAGACAAATACGTAGAATACACTTACAAGGAACTGTGTAGAGTCTTGATGAGTGCGGAGGGGTATTTTTTCATAGCAATCGTTGTTTCTCAATGAATTCATCTCGTGGCGCAGATGCGACTGTTCACATATAAGCATTCACGGCACACTTGTCCCCAACAAAAAGTCATTTACATCAATTAAGATCCTTTAGCCTATTCTGACGGCGTGCTAGCTTGCAGACCTGCTCCCGCAATACCTGCTGCGTCAATAGCAAAAGAGGGACTACATGTTAAGCGGACTCTCCGCTCCTTAGTTGTATGTTGTGGAGGCAGGCCTGTGTCACTGTCAACTCTTTAGCTTGACCAAACTTATCAGCTCGACCTTTCTGTGTAGATCTATATTATATAGTTTCACCACACATCTACTACAATGTAATGCCTGCTGCTTCATGTCAGTGTATGTGACCAACAGCCGTTGTTAGATTAATTATGCAGATTTATACAGTATCTTAGCCATTTCATCCACTTACTCCTCCTGCACTTACCTATTTGATAAGTACATGCATTATTCCTGCAAACCAAAAGAGGCGACTAAGTGTGGACCCCCTGCTGTGACTGTTAGATCCCATTGCAGAATTGAGAGGCGACCTATGAGATATTCCATAGCAAATTGAAATTACTCACATTTACCGGACCAGATTTCCACATGCACATGTTCCACGTTTTTGAGATCTCTTGCTGACTCACTTTATGTGATAGTGCATCTTGCGCAAGAATAGGTCCTCTACATCAGCGTTCCTTGTCCGCGATGCACTCAGCTTAATTGCTGTCTTTAGCCGAGGGGACTATTGGTTTTATATAATAGCTATATTTTCTATTATAGTATATCAGTTCTATCTTCTTGTAATATGATGTATATGTACATGTAACTGTTCTGTGTCACTGTGTCTTGAAAAAGGAGCGGAACGCTCCGAAAATTTGACAACCTTAACTTGTCCACACTGTTGGAATTCCCTCTTTGCCCCATATAATATTTTAAGTAATTCGTATCCTACGGACATACCTCCATTATGATCCAGTGTTATATGGGATTTTGCCGTCTGTATTACTTCTTTGACCCATATATATATATATATATATATATACACACTGAAATGAGCCTGTATGACTCCGGAGCTTAACACCCCCACCAGTTCCATTTAGCAGACGACACGCGTTACTAAATATAGTTATTATACGTCTACTGAGTTTTCCCTACATCAAAACAATACGATAAAATCTGCTATTTCCCTTAATCACTTAAATCTCTCCATCTGACAGCTACTCCCTCCCCAAATTAGGACTACTCCCTGCAAAAGAGGACCACTCCCTTCCAGAGAGAGGACTACTCCTCCCTCATGGATATTTGGAGGCGGAGCTTATAAGATTTCAACCAATGAAAACATTGGTAGGCGGGGCCTTCTCCATGAAGCTCGTGACGTCAAATTTCCAGAACCAAATGCCAACAGTGAAAATGGCCACCGATTAAGACTGTTTTGTTGTAGAAAAAGGAGTTACAGCAGATTTTGGACGCTAAACGTATGTTAAATACAAAGGCTGTTATAATGACTGCAGTGAATTCACTTCAAACTTATTTAACAGAACGGAATGCCGGAAGCGTCGACAAGAAGGGTCAAGCAAGCTCAGCGGAGGTGAACGTGTGTCCAGTTAGGACACACAAGATTTATACAGAACTTAAAAAAGTGGATGGGACTAGATCTAGATATGGTAGCTAGGAAAACAATGGTGACTATGATATACAGTCTATAAAAACACTTCTTGATTGCTAAAAATGAAGATATCATGAACGACGATGCATACAGTACTTCCAATTGTATTTTTTCTCTTTGAAATTGTAAAAGGACATGAATAAATAAATTAATTCGTTAAATTGCCTTTAATAATTTGTCTTGTTATAATAAAACAGTAATAGAATGGGTAATTCGGGAAATAGCAAAGTTATGGTCACCATTGGTGAAAAACTATTCCCCTCGACGGCTTCGCCGCCTCGGGAAATAGTTGTTCACCTCGGGGGACCATAAATGTGCTATTTCCCTCATACCCATTCTATAACTGTATATTATTATACCTTTACTTTTTTTACACTATACAAAAGTAACCACATAAACAAGCTATTTCCCCTCTAACTGCATGCCAGGGAAATAGTTCGTCTGGAGGGGTGCGATAGTTTTGAAACTATTTCCCTCGGAAAATGCGGGAAATTGAGTGACGTCGTGGGGTGGGCCTGGCCAAATACTGACCAATCAGCGCAATCGAATATGACGGCAATTTCCGGCCAGCGGAGCCGGTACTTTCTGGACCGACCATCACCTCGCATTGACAACGAGTGTTTGTATCGGTATAATACAACAGTTGAAGTATGGGTTTTTCGGGATATAGCAAGTTTATGATCCCCCTCGGCCAGGACTATTTCCCGATGCGAAGCCGAGGGAAAAAGTCCTGGCCTCGGGGGATCAATAACTTGCTAAATATCCCTCATACCCTTACTTTAACTGTTAATTATTGAAACCTACATTGTAGTTAATTACCAGAGTACCAATTAACAAACAGTAATTTTTTTCAGAAAGTTAAACAACAATTGTATTAAACCTTCAATCAGGCATCACAATATACTACCACAAATACATAGTTATACCACAAATGCATATACAAGCTAAACTTCGACAACACGTTAGAGCTTATTCAGCTCAAAGCAGTAGAGACTTTCTATACATGGGTGTTTGTGCTTTCTTGGATGCAGTAATCAACTCGTAACAGGACTTTTCAGCGTTTGGAAGCAGCAAAATACATAAAAAGTGAATTATTACACATTTAAATAGTTTAATGTTAAATCAATAACTACTGATATTGTATTAACGAGCTTGCACTTTTGCTAAAGTTGGGAATTTTTTCAGCCGCAAATACTGCCTGCCCCTAAAATCAATGTTAATGCAGAGATAGAAAAATCCCCGCCTTATATCACAAGGGCAAATGTGTGTTGAGCGTGTATAAGTTATATTTATTCTCGCCATGCATAATTGATTGTAGTGCGTCACCGCTTGATTTGAATATTAACAATTCCGTTGACAAAAGCGGAACCTTGAGTGGTTCAGTTTGTATAGTGACAGCACACGTGTGTAAACGTACAGTGCGGTGAACGTAACGATTGGTCTGCTGGTGTGGATCTATTTTAATTTTAAACTGTTCTCTACGTATACGAATGCATTCCTTTGCTTGTTGTTTAAGATGGTTACTGCCTTGTTGTTAATCGTCTGTAATCTATGTACACCAGACAGAAAATGTATAAACGATATACATGCATATGGAGGATATATTATAGGACTGCTAAACATATGTTAATGTTACTTTCTTAGCAATAACAACCAAACCACATACCATAATGTAGTTACGAAAACATTGAATGCATGTCTATATCTATTCAGATATCAATGAGACGTTTGGATATGCGATTGTGAGAGCGGTGACCTGTTTACCAAGCGGGATGGTACGATGAAAGCCTGTCTATAGGGTACTTCGGGTACTAGGTAAGCGTCAACCATGTTGGTGTTTAAAGAGACTCGATCAATTAGGCCATGTAGACACGAGGCTCTTTACATAAAAGATTTTGCGTTATTATTGTATGAAGATCATACAAGTGTCCAATAATGGAGAGGAAGTTAAGAAAATATGTCAACAGCATCTAGTATGGCTTACATAGGAATTAATATAAAGAGTCCAGTGAATATACATATGTTGAAAAATCCCGTTAAAATCAATCTAATATTTTTTAAATGTTTTGTTAGGGGGAATAATAACGCACTGTATTATAGAAATCTTTCATAACCTTTAAAAAAACTGTCAATATTTTAACCCGTTCTTTATATATTTAAAGTGGTGGTTTAATAAAACGAATATTTAAATTTCATTGCAAGACGAACTTAAATTATATTCATCACATTGGGACAGTACATGTTCTGCACTACGTTTTTGTCATATACTGTAGTTCTATTTAGGAAAGATATCGAAGAAAAACATTTTCCGAAAATGTATAGCTATATAGTGTATAACAGGAATAGGACAACTCAAACCTGATGGACTACTTTGGTCTTAAGTAAGGCACTGAAATTAGTATGTAATGATAAGTGTAGAGTTCATAGCATTTCTGTACACTGGATGATACGCGTAGTAAATAATCATCGCATACAAAAACAAAACAAAAAGATAGGAATTTGTATGTCCAACACAAAACCTGTCTGACATTTATATTCCCATACACCATACAGGTTCATGCAATATACATATCATTTCGTGATCGATATTACACCTTACCTGTATACCAATTCTGAACGTTGGGGTATTTTTGTTGTTGATTTTTTAATATTTCCATATTCAAAAGCTATGTAAATAGAGGGAAGAGAAACGTACTTTTGAAATATAGTGTATGGATATATGAAATAATTAAGGTAGTTGGAATTAAAAAAAAACATAAATTGTATTGTGTTAACTTATCGCAATGCCCAGTATGAGTACTTACGTATATCTTGTCTTTCGCATATCGCGACTGCAGAGTTCTTTTTATGGTGGCATTATCCAAATTTCCCAGCTGCGACAGATCGTCCACGTCCTCGTCCGCCATCTCACTTAGTGGATCCGTACCTCCTCAAACACGGGTAATACCCCTTGCTAGGGGATCGGAGGAGATCCAATAAATAATTAAGTTGTTTCAAGTAGAAGTACAAGAACATAGACAGTGTCTGAACGAATCTGTTTATCACAGTAACTATAGCAAATAAAGGCTCCTTTCGTCTGGCTGCCTTCTCCGGACTGTGTGATAGACTTCCTGGTTATAGAACCTATCCCAGCATTCCTATCGTTAGGTCATTTTAACAAATGCCAGTAAAATAACCTCACTAAAAAACAAACCTTTCAACCGTAGCCCGTTCGTAATACGTTTAGTTGGTGTTAACGAAGACAAATTGTATATGATAGAAGTAAAATAGGATAGCAACGAATATCCACCCGACTGTGCATATTGCGCACACACATATAGACTGTACACTACCCGGGTTGTGCTATACACATTTACAGCGATTACCTACGTATACCGCTCGTTAAATACAGTAATTTGCATATGAATGGCTCAGCATACTTGTAGTCGACGGCTAATTGTCCGTGTCTCTGTCCTAGACATTCAAAAGCTACCCGGAAGATGTATAGAGTTACGTCAGGCTTGTATGTTATTAGAGCTTTGACTATGTATAGGGCTGGGTACGTTTTGTGTTCATCAAGAGTACGCTATTGTGACGTTTTCCCCTATGGTCCATACCAGTTACAATGGAAATTCCAATGAACATACCTACCCCAATTTGGGCGTATCAATATTTAAGTTATATGCATACATATTAAGACAAAATAATCTAGTTCGGTAATATATACAGAAAATATATTCCAAACAATATCAATATAACAGTTAATAAAGTATATTTACATTTGTGTTGCAGTGCCACTAGATAACAGTACCAACCAAAAATGTTTGCATGATTCAATAAAAGCAAGTGTGTAGTAATACTAGTAATACCTTACACCTTTCACACAGCCTATACACCATAAATACATGTATATGTTATACCTTACACGTGTCACACAGACCATAAATCATAAATACATGTATATGTTATACCTTACACGTGTCACACAGACCATACATCATAAATACTTGTATATGTTATACATTACACGTGTCACTCAGCCCATACACCATAAAGACATGTATATGTTATACCTTACACGTGTCACACAGCCCATACACCATAAATACATGTGTATGTTATACCTTACACCTTTCACACAGCCCATACACTATAAATACATGTATGTGTCATACCTTACACGTTTCAGACAGACCATACAGCATAACTATATGTAAATGTCATACCTTGCACGTGTCACACAGCCCATACACAATAATTCCATGTATATGTCATACCTTACACGTGTCACACAGACCATAAATCATAAATACATGTATATGTTAGACCTTACACGTGTCACACAAACCATACATCATAAATACTTGTATATGTTATACATTACACGTGTCACTCAACGCATACACCATAAAGACATGTAGATGTTATACCTTACACGTGTCGCACAGACCATACATCATAAATACTTGTATATGTTATACATTACGGGTGTCACTCAGCCCATACACCCTAAATACATGTATATGTCATACCATACACGTGTCACACAGACCATACATTATAAATACATGTTGTACATGTTATACCTTACACGTGTCAAACAGCCCATACACCATAAATACATGTATACGTTATACCTTAGACCTGTCACACAGCCCATAACCATAAATCCATGTATATGTTATACCTTGCACTTGTCACACAGCCCATACACCATACATCCATGTATATGTCATAACTAACCTGTGTCACACAGCCCATACAGCATAATTAAACGTATATGTCATACCTTGCACGTGTCACACAACCCATATACCATAAATACATGTATATGTTATACCTTACACGTGTCACACAGACCATACATCATAAATACATGTATATGTCATACCTTACACGTGTCACTCAGCCCATACACCATAAAGACATGTATATGTTATACCTTACACGTGCCACTCAGACCATAAATCATAAATACATGTACATGTTATACCTTACACGTGTCACACAGCCCATACACCATAAATACTCGTGTATGTCATACCTTGCACGTGTCACACAGCCCATACACAATAATTCCATGTATATGTCATACCTTACACGTGTCACACAGACCATACACCATAAGTGCATGTATATGTCATACATAACACGTGTCATACAGCCCATACACCATAAATACATGTATATGTTATACCTTACACGTGTCACACAGACCATACATCATAAATACATGTATATGTCATACCTTACACGTGTCACTCAGCCCATACACCATAAATACATGTATATGTTATACCTTACACGTGTCACACAGCCAATCCACCATAAATACATGTATACGTTATACCTTAGACCTGTCACACAGCCCATAACCATAAATACATGTATATGTTATACCTTACACTTGTCACACAGCCCATACACCATAAATATATGCATATGTCATACCTTTCACGTTTCACACATCCCATACACCCTAAATATATGCATATGTCATACCTTTCACGTTTCACACAGCCCATACACCATACATACATGTATATGTCATAACTAACACGTGTCACACAGCCCATACAGCATAATTAAACGTATATGTCATACCTTTCACGCGTCACACAACCCATATACCATAAATACATGTATATGTCATAACTAACACGTGTCACACAGACCATACAGCATACATACATTTATGTTCTTGTTCGCCCCCCTTAAACGAACATAAGTTATTTATCATATAAACTCAAACTCATTACTGGGAGTTCGTCCGCCTTGCTAAAGGAGGACGTACATTTATTCACTTTATACAATATTAAATCGAAATTTCAAACAGCGAGTCCCGAACATTATATTCCTCTCTGTCTTCATCTCCATCTGGTTTTGAACCGTCAAGAACATCCGTGGAACGCTCGACTAATAAAGATTCTGCAATCACAAAATGAAAGACACAGAAATATGCATTTCCGAAAATGGGCGGCTGGGTGGGAAAGTCCGTATCGTTCAATTGCTAGGCATACATGTACGTGTCATCACTGTCCTAAACTCACCTATCGCACGTGCATGTAATACGGCACGTGCTGAACTCTGCCCCGGACTTTCCCATACACTTATTTACATAACTATGATAAATTTATGTATTTACGTGTTATACAGCCCATACACCATAAATGCATGTATATGTCATACCTTACACGTGTCACAGAGCCTATACACCGTAAATACATGTATATGTTATACCTTATAGGTGTCACACAACCCGTATACCATAAATACATGTATATGTCATACTTTACACCTATCACACAGTCGATAAAGCATAAATACATGTTTATGTTATACCTTTTACCTGTCGAACAGCCCAAATACCATAAATACATACATATATGTTATATCTTACACGTGTCACACAGCCCATACACCATACTTACATCTATATGTCATACCTTGCACGTGTCACAAAGCCTCATACACCATAAATACATGTATATGTCATACCATACACGTGTCACACAGACCATACATTATAAATACATGTATACGTCATACTTAACACTTGTTACACAGCCCATACACCATAAATACATGTATATGTTATACCTTTCACGTGTCACAAAGCCCATACACCATAAATACATGTATATGTCATACCTTACACGTATCACACAGCCCATACACCCTAAATACATGTATATGTCATACCATACACGTGTCACACAGACCATACATTATAAATGCATGTATATGTCATACCTTACACCAGTCAAACAGCCCATACACCATAAATACATACATTTATGTTATATCTAACACCTGTCACATAGCCCATACACCATACATGCATACATATGTGTCATACCTTACACCTGTCACATAGCCCATACACCATAAATGCATGTATATGTCATACCTTACACCTATCACACAATCGATACACCATAAATACATACATTTATGTTATATCTAACACCTAACAATCATTCAGATTGGAAAAAAACTATTAATAGATGATATTGAAAACTTTGGAGGGGATAAGATTTGGACCTTAACAAAACCTGGACTATTTGAAGTATCAAAACACAGAAATTTAGGTATCTTTTGGAAGGAAATTGTACAGATATGAGGGTCTCTTACCGAGCATATTTTCTATCAGCCCTATGGTTCAAATGTAACATAAAGATAAACAAAAAAACAGTATTTTTCAAACATTTATGTCATTAAGGGTATTTTCTACATAAAGGACTTAGTAGATGCTCATCGTAATCTCTTGACATATACTCAGTTTGTAGAAAAATATCAAATCACTTTTAACTTTATGAATTACAATAGCCTTATTAGCGCTAAACCTAGAGGCTGGAAGAGAGTAATTAACTTCCATGGGACAATTTTGAAACACATATACATGAAAATCTGAAACAGCTCAGAAATAGCGAAAATAATTTTCTACGGGAAAATTGTGTCTACAATAAAAGCAAATCCAGGGAAGTCCCATGGAAGGTGGCATGTTCTATTAGACCTTTCTCTAGAAAATACACAAAAGATTCAAAATTGCAAAGAATCATTCACATATTGTCTTCACCAACTCTATATTGTTGAATGCAGTTTCTGTAGTGGAGCATCAGAAACAATATACCACCTTTTCTGGGACTGTGTATATAGCCAGTCATTGTGGACATGTCTGATCAACTCAGTCTTAAATCAGTATCATATTGTTAAAGCAAATAACCCTGACATTTTCCTATTTGGGGTTACTGAAGGTGTTAAACCACTTGGAATAAACCTTTTAATATTATTGATTAAGAAATATATATCATCAAGAAGACAGTTCAAACTATTACCTGAGTGGGAAAATTGTACATTTTTTATGAGAAACTATAGAAAATTAGATCTGTATTCAGGTTAAATACTGACCCCAAATGCAGCAAGAAATACCAGGCAGAAATGGGAAAGTGTCAAGTATATCCTTGAATAACTGTTTGTTTGTCTCAACTTCTGAACACATATAACTATAAAGTACATAAACATGCATATTTTTGTGTAGCAACTTTTACTAATGGACACTAATGCAATTATATGTATGGTTAATGTATACAAAATATGCAAAATCTATATGATAAGGACTGTAAAATGATTGATACAGAAAAAATAATAAAATTACAGCAGATATGTGTATCAAGATACATATCGTATCGAATGTATTGTGATGTGAAAGTACAGGGAACAGGGTACGGGGTACAGGGTACGGAATACAGGGTACATGGTACGGGGTACAGTGTACAGGGTACATGGTAAATGGTACGGGGTACAGGGTGCGGGGTACAGGGTACAAAGAACAAGGTACAGGGTGCGGGGTACAGGGTAAAGTGTAGACTGAAACAATTCGTTGAATCGTTCAAGACTTTTGTTGTGTATTGTAGCATAACATTTTGTTTGCCTGCGTAGGGAAGAACACTTACAATTGGGGTATTATCAATCAATTCTTAAACAAATTCGATTTGTGAGTTCACTCACTCCGTTTTAAAACCAAAGAAACGATGTTATCCACTGTGCAGTGATGCAAAATACATACAACAGCTCGAACAAACATATATCTGAACTGTTTTTACTATTTACATCGTAAAGCTATTACATCTCTGTAAAATATCTGCACACATGTATTATGAAACTAACCTTTAACGCAGATGTGTGTATCAAGATACACGTCGTGTCGAATGGATTGTGTTGTGAAAGTACAGGGTACGAGATATGGGGTTCAGGGTACAGGGTATGGGGTACGGGGTACTAGAATCATGTGCATGTTATGTTCAGGGGTTGGCGATAACGGCTGATAGAGATGTAGATAAGTGATCACTGTATCGTCCAAGTGACCGCCGTACACTACGAGGGCACGTCTCACCCATAAAACCGACAGGACCAGTGGATGGAACATCCCCTTTATTGATACGATGTTAGCTGTCATAAAAAGATGGATGATTTGTATAAATTCGTTATAATTCTAATCATCTTAACTTCTACGTTTTTAAGTATATCAGGTAAGACTTTCAGAATCGGTCATTATATCAACTGTTTTGTATAATGCATAACATTTTCCCTGCGATACTCTACTGATAACGCTAATACTTGTAATGTAGTACAATGATAAACATCTGATACATAGACGACGGATGTCCAGATTACTACTACGTCATTCGATCAATATAGACGGGATATTTATTAGCGTTTGTTACTTCGGTATGCATTTTTAACAACGGGTTTCAGGCGTTGAGAGAGAGAGAGAGAGAGAGAGAGAGAGAGAGAGAGGCTATGCATAATAAAATAATAAAACCCCTTCATATGCGCATTGACAACGATATTTTGTTGCACGATTCCAAATAATTGGCAGAATCCAAAATGTTGACGTCAGGGTTAAATGTATTGAAAATTAATAGTTATTATGACAATGGTAACTTGATGTAGATATTTACATTTTTAGCAGCGAGGTTTTTATACAAGCTTAGATAGGTATCAATACGAATATTGATAAACAAAAATGGCTGTTGCGACCTCCGTGATAATAGTTGGTGTGGATACCCGTTATGATTGCGTTGACGCGAGAGTAAAACTACGAGTGTTTGCATTACATCGCATCTATAGAATAGGTAAACTATTATGCTGACTAAAATGATCGGGTTTCACGACCAACTATCTCTTGTCATAGCAATACCAGCAGCTTAAAGGTTGTTTATTTATACTCTTGTCAAAAAGGCTTCATGACAATATAGCTTGATGCTCCTTATGACCAAATCATGTTGACAAACTGACACGAGGCAATTCTTTCTTGACGTTTTTAACCAGTAATAAATAAATCCTTAACTGTACAACCATACGTTTTAGCGGCAGCTGTCGGCGAATGTCTAGCTTAACAAAAAAATCTTTCGATCGAAAAGAGAAGGTAAATTCTCGCTTTATTCACAATTCACATAACTTCTATAGAATACCAATACAAGCATTTATTCTGAATCAAAAGCATTTAATAACTAAAATGAGTCATAATTTAATGTTTAAAGATATTGATATCGTACTGTCTGTAGTTTGAGCTTCTCGCTGCCGTACACCCTCTCAGTGTATGCATACTCGTATTAAACCTGTTTGTTTTTATTCAGATCCAACTGGGAACAGAAATATCTGATTAGATTTATATCTGATGATACTTAAAATTCTTGCTTGCGATGCATTGTGAAGTGTTGAATATTCCAGACTCATATCTAAAAGAGGATGGCAATGTTATTTAAGATTCCTATTCAAAAGCAAATCTAATCAATGAGCAATTCGAATCAATTTTCTCTACATCCAAAAACATATCTCCTGACGTCTTTGCTAAAGAAAATTATATGAATCCAGATCAGATATATCCAACCATGAACACCCCCTCATTACCCCAAATGGTATTCAAAAACTACTAAAACATCTTGATAGTTCCACCGCACCAGGCCCAGACGACTTGAGTCCAAGAGTTTTGAAGGAATTGGCTAGTGAAATTGCCCCCATTTTGAGTATAATAATCATCTCGTCCCTACAATCTGGCACTGTTCCACAAGATTTGAAAACCGCCCATATTGCTCCAATTTTTAAAAAGGGCCAACATTATGATCCTGTAAATTACAGACCTATCTCACTCACTTGCATTTGTTGTAAATTAATGGTAAATGTCATAGTGTCACACATCATGTCACATTCAGATCGACACTGTATTTTGTTTCCTCGCCAGCATGGTTTTCGAAAATTCAGATCCTGTGAAACACAACTTTTAGAATTTGTTGACGATATTACCAAAACTCTTGACAACTCTAAACAATCAGATATATTGGTTATGGATTTCTCCAAAGCATTTGACAAGGTCAGCCACTTTCTTCTTACCAGCACTCGGCCTCGCCAGCTGTTCTATGATAGGGTGTTAGTGGAGCTACAGGGAAACACTGTCAAGTACCATTCCTATAGTGGACCAGTCAGATCATTTAAACACGTATCTGTACACATTACTCAGTCCTTATGGTATAGATGATAAAACTGCTTCCTGGATCTCAACGTTTTTAAATAATATAACCCAATCAGTACTTGTTGAAGGCGTCAAATCTGAGTATGTACCAGTTTTATCCGGCGTCCCCCAGGGATCTGTACTGGGGCTTAGTCTGTTCCTATTTTGTATTAATGACATGCCAATTGGCTTGAACTCCACGGTCAGACTGTTTGCGGATAATACCATCGTATATCTGACAATTACGTCAGAGAAAGATGCCAGAACCCTACAATCTGACCTGGACAAACTACATTTGTAGCCATTTGGGAGAAAATTGGTTAATTACTATCCACCTAGATACGTGTTATGCTCTCACAATTACTAAGAAAAAATCCTCTGTCATTTTTAATTATTCTCTTCATGGCCAAATATTTAAACAGGTTGATTCTGTGAAATACCTAGGTGTAACCCTCGGATCAGATTTGAAATGGGACTATCATGTAGATCAGATTTGCAACAAGGCAAATTCTACTCTATGATTTCTCAGAAGAAACATGAAAGTTAGCGCAATAACATTTACAGAACAGGCTTACAAAACTTTGGTCAGACCCTCTTTAGAATACACAAAAAATAGCATCAACACCATAGAAATGGTCCAGAGGAGAGGTGCCCGATATGTGTCAAATCGCTAGCGGAATACCTCTAGTGTAACATATATGGTTGGTACTCCTGGCTGGCGCAGCCTGTTAGATCGCAGGAAAGATGCACGCCTAAAGATGTTCCATAAAATTCATGAGGGCACGGTGGCCATATCCACGACTGACAGGATGCACCGAGCCAGAATAATTCCTAGAAATTCCCACCAGGTCCAAAACCAACAGCAATATTCGAAAACACTAACTAGACAACAATCAATTTTTCCTCGAAATTACTTTCAGCTCTTTCAAAACATCTCTTTCCAAGCACACCTATAAAATTGAAGATGCAGAGTAATTAGTTACTTCAACAGACTTTACATAACAATTCACCACTTCTCTTCTTTTCCCCTTTTTCCGAACAAGATTTGCAGGTGGGGGCTGCCCATCACTAGCTTGCTCGGACCTCTCTCTCGGACTGTCCTCGAACTAAATTTTCCTTCTCATAACTTTAACTAAGTGTATAATTATTAATTATTATGTAATATATATAGTATGTCATTTGTGCTGCATAAACCCAACTTCGTGACAAAATCTTCAATTAGTTGAAGGTGGTAACTATATGTTGGAACTAGAAAATATCTGACACTGTACACAAATGTACACGTGTTGTCGGTCGACAGCGTGGAACCTTACTGCGCTATTTCAGTCGTATCTATTTTTAGCGCCGGCTTTACCAAAGATAAAACTGATCACATGGGGCGTTGACTTCAGGTCATGTCATTATCAACTACGCAAACTTTCATTAGAAGATATTTTTAATATCAACTCGATTTCAAGATTGTCATTTGACTAAATAGCCCCTTTAAGATTGTGACGTTTAACATTGTTACCGACCGGACACGTGGGCACTTTTATTACGGTTGTAGAGTATAAAAGACTTACTAAATGTTACATTCCTTTTCACTGTATTAGCTTTTCATGTGTATCATATGGTAACAGTACCAACTCAAAATGTTTGCATGATTCGATAAAAGCAAGTGTGAAGTAATATTAACAGTACTCATCTACCGTTACATGACCTCTGATTGTGGTTTTGAATGAAGGCACATCATGTTTGTGTCGGGTCACCGAAGCGTGTCTGCTATAAGATTTATAACTGGTCCTTTTCAACAGAACAGAATAATGCACTGTCCTCTAGAATCTACACTAGCGTCCGTTGCAAGTGGCGAAGCCGGTGAAATCGTCCCGGCTCGTCGGCCAGTCCCTCATCGATAGTAACACATGCCGAATGCTCAAACGATGAGCTAGTCCTGTTGACACAAACAATCGCCTTAATAATTCAGCCAAAAACATCTTTTAAATGGTCATCTGGTTTCTTAGGAAACTCTACATTTTACGGACGCACTTTCTGTTTAGTTGAAAGACGAACCGCTTCGTGGCCTGATGAGCGTAGCCGCTGCACAACCGGTTTTTAACCGTCAGCTATCTCCGCAAACACGGAATAAATTTCTGACTTTTTGCAACTAAAATATTGTACAGTGTTATTTTTTTTAAGATCTACTGTCAATTTTTAATATAATCAATGATTGTTTAACATGCTGGTAATATAAGTTAGATTATTAAAAAAATATGCAAAGTGGAACTATTTTATTATTGCTCAACTGTGTATTTCGTCACCGTTGACAACGCATCATCTTTCCTACAAAAATGGCTGTTCAGTTCATGTTGTTCTCATGGCGGTGTTTTGCTTTTTAACGCGCATCAGTGAATATGTTTGAACGGAACTATGTTGCATACCCTCATAAATGTTAAAAATATGCATTTCAAACCTTTAATGGTACGGTATTTCATGACGTCTTTGTTTGGGCATTTATTGATGACGGCATCACACATGGAGTAATGTTAATCAGTAAGAGCGACAGTGTGATCGAATATACACAGTAACATTTGCTCTGTGGATCCAAATACATTACTAATTAAAGTAAATATAAATTTTATAAACAACACATTTGTCACTGGCATGTATATGTATATAACGCACAGCCATTTGCTATTAATTTCATATGATTCACAGGGTGTTCTAGTACTGAAGATGTCCACATACGTTCCAGCGCTGAGGTAACTGGTGAGTTTTATAGCTTGGCCCTACCTCAGTCGTCCACAAAAACTTCAGGTCAAACTAGTGAGCTATTCACAGACCTCACATTACAATCAACATACGGTTTGTTCCCTACGACGACGAAAAAAAGCCCATCGTCGATAGTGAGGAGTGTTTCGTCAACTTTGTCTAGCTATCAAGGAACAATGGAAACACAACAGTCAACAACAAATTCTCCAAACCTCCCTGTTGGAACATCGGTTAGAGTCAATGTAACAAGGATGTTGACTTCGCTTCTATTATCAACATCTTCATCGTCACCTTTAAAATCATCTTCCACACATAAATCCTCGGATTCGTCATCCTCAGATTTCCTTCAGACCACATTAACGCTTGTCCCATCAGTTTCTATGACCTCAGCCAGCGTTGTATCTACAGAGGATTTATCAACATCTAGGTATGTATATAGCTTCATATCTGATATATTTGTAAATTATCACATCCATAACTACAATGCAATCTGAAAAAATGCTAACCATTCACTAGGGCGTTGAAAGGTGAATACATATCAGACAAACAATAAGATACAGCTTACTAAAAGAGTCTACACACGTGGGACAAAAAATGCAAGAAACAAAACAACTCAAAATCGATACGAAAATACAACTGTAGGAGCAATAACATAATAGCAAGAGAAGGCCGCTTTTAGTGCTCTGTTCAACTGACTGAAAGGTCGTAGGTCACAATCCTTTCTAAGACCGCACAGTGTAGATCAGTAGTTTTGTGAGACACAGTGTATATCACCAGTTATCTGATACAAAGTGTAGATCACTAGTTATCTGAGACACACTGTAGATCACAGGTTATCTGAGACATAGTGTTTATCACAAGTTATCCGAAACATAGTGTATATCACTATAGTTATCCGAGACACAATATAGATCATCAGTTATCTGTTACACAATGTAAATCATTAATTATCTAAGACACCGTGTAGATCAGTAGTTATCTGAGACACAATGTAAATCATTAGTTATCCGAGACACAATGTAGCTAACATGTTATCTTAGACACAGTGTAGCTAACTAGTTATCTGAGACACATTGTAAATAACCAGTTATCTGAGACACAGAGTAGATCACTAGTTATCTGAGACACAGTGAAGATCATTAGTTATCTGAGACACACTGTACAATGTAGCTAAGAAGTTATCTGAGACACAATCTAGCTAGCCAGTTATCTGAGGCATAATGCAGATCACGACTTATATGGAGAACAGTGTATCTAGTATGTTATCTGTGACACTATGTAGATAATTAGCTATCGGAGACATAATGTAGCTAGCGAGCTATCGGATACACCTAGTGATCACTAGTTATCTGAGACACAGTTTAGAAAAAACGTTACCTGAGACACAGAGTGATCACTAGTTATCTGAGACAGTGTGGATCACTCGTTATCTGAGACAAAGTGTATATCACCAGTTATCTGAGACTCAGCGACACAGTGTAGATCACAAGTTATTTGATAGAAAGTGTAGATCACTAGTTAAATGAGACATAGTGTAGATCACAAGTTATCTGAGACATAGTGTAGATCACTAGTTATCTGAGACACAGTGTAGATAACACATTATCTGAGACACAGAGTGATCACTAGTTATCTGAGACACAGTGTAGATCATTAGTTTTCATTTACTAATTAAAGAAAACTAGACAATGATTCATTTCAGATCAAAAGTATAAGTATACACATTCCTTCATAAAGATCCAGTGGTATTGCTTTGAATGATAAAATGCATTATCTCTGACATCGCAGCAATTAACCCAATTTACTAATTGTGAATTTAAAAACAATAATTTCTGTTTCACCGATTGGCTTGTCTAAAGTTGTCTATACTATGACGTAGGCCTAATGTATGCATACTTTGTTAATGCATATAAAGTGTCAATATAGTGAACTCCTCTACCGCTAAGGGGAAGAGAGAAATCCGTTATAATATGAAGTCTTCGTAGAGAGTGGGAAGTGAAAAATAAACAGACGGTTAAACTATTGTTAATTGTACATCATGGTTATTAGGATTAGCTTTTAACCCGTTAAATTCAATTGATGACTTTAAAATGAACATGGACGAAAGTGCAATCGTTTTCTCATACATGGCCTGACTGATCGTCGAAGCTGCCGTATTAAAAATGTGCACATTCCAAAAACATATTAGAGGTACATACCTTAATTGAAGTTACTCAATGGAAGAGATTCCTCAAAACATGAACATGGACGTCTTCCTGATCAGTTTTCCAACACACACACAGAAAAATAACAGGAAGTGGGAAAAACAGCGCAAATAAACAGAAGTGAAAATTTGAAATGAATTAGATTAGGAGTAAATATGGTAACAGTATAGATTAGTTTAGAATATTTGGCTCATTTAGAAATACTTCACAAAACATACTAAACTGAGATTAAAGTTGAAGGATCTAATAATTTACAAATAATGGTGGTAGATCCAAGGTCAATACAGTGTACGTGCCAATTTTGTGAGATATGCTGTCAGACGTTATGTTAGTATATAACACGGTTGCTGTTCGATATTTATTCAATATTTCCAGCTTTACATTTCCATTCGGTATCTTTTTAATAATAATTTATTTTGCATATAGTGTGGTGTGACCAAATAACAACTTTGTTACAACGTCAATTTCGAGCGTTAGTACAATGTCTGTTAAAAAAAAGTTGTCCGGACATTGTATGATGGTTGCCGACTTCGCAACCAGAGCACGATGTACCAACGTAAATACAACGTTATGTGCCCACTGGGAACAGAGTAGATATAGAGGATCTTACATGAGTGTCCATGTTATATTGAATTTATTGAACGAGTTTAATAAATTCAAGGTGACATGGACACGAGTGTTAGATTCTATTTATCACATAACAATCATAATTTGAAAAAAAACCTTCAATTCAACTATGCGTTATCAACTGACTCTATATAGGTCAAAACCAAAGTACTCCGATCATAGTATTGCCGTTCCGGGCAATGTAAAGTAGTTTCATATTTGTATATTTAAATTATGAACAGTTTTAAATGCAATGAAAGTAACAATGACAAAAATAAAACATTTCCAATTCATCTAATAGCTAAGACATTAAAATTAATCATTAAAAATGCACTTTATAAATCTGAGACACAGTGTAGATCAGTAGTTATCCGAGACACAGTGTAGATCTGTAGTTATCCGAGACACAGTGTACAAACAAGTTATTTGAGACGCAGTGTAACTCATTAGTTTGCTATGACATCGTGAAAATCATTAGTTATCTGAAACACAGTCTAGTTAACTAGTTATCTGAGACACAATGTAGCTAGCCAGTTATCTGAGACACAGTGTAGATCACTAGTTTTTTGTGACACAGTGTAAATCACCAGTTATCTGAAATACAGTGTATATCACCATTCATTTTGGACACAGTGTAAATCACTAGTTGTTTGAGACACAGTTTTGCTTACAAGTTATGTAATACACATTGTATATCAGAAGGTATCTGAGACACAGTGTTAATCATTAGTTATCTGAGACGCAGTGTTAATCATTAGTTATCTGAAACACAGTGTAGATCACAAGTTATCCGAGACACAGTGTACATCAAAAGTTTTCTGAGACACAGTGTAGATCAAAGGTTATCCGAGACACAGTGTAGATCACAGGTTTTCTGAAACACGGTTTATATCACAATTTATCTGAGACACAGTGTTAATCACTAGTTATCTGGGAGACAGTGTTGATCACTAGTTATCTGAAATACAGTGTTGATCACTAGTTTTCTGAGACACAGTGTTGATCACTAGTTATCTGAGACACAGTGTTGATCGTTAGTCATCTGAGACACGGTGTAAATCACTAGTTGTCTCAGATCACAGTTTATATCATAACTTATCTGACACACAGTGTATATCACCAGTTATCTGAGACACAGTGTATATCATAACTTATCTGAGACACAGTATTGATCACTAATTAACTTAAACACAGTGTACATCATTAGTTATTTGAGACAGAGTGTATATCACTAGTTATCTGAGACACAGTGTATATCATTAGTTATTCGAGACACAGTGTAAAAACACCAGTGATTTAGGACAAAATGTAAACCACACTAGTTGTTTGAGACATAGTGTTGCTAACAAGTTATGTAATACACAGTGTATACCAGTAGTT